GGCAGGGAATAGATCTTTCTTTGCAATGCAACATCTGATGAAGTCGAAACTTCTTTCACGAGGTGCAAAGGATCCGGATATATAAGACCATAATACGACCAACAGTCGCGTATGGAAGCGAAACATGGACGATAACAAAAAGAGAAGTAAATAAATTGCTGGTATGGGAATGTAAAATTCTTCGAATGATATATGGCCCTTGAAGAGACAGCGTGACAAACGAATGGAGGGGCAGATGCAATAACGAGCTAGAGTTTCTATATATAAAGGCCAATAGACTCAGATGGGCAGGACATGTGATACGCAGTAACGACAATCGCCTTATGAACAATGTGTTCTGGGAAAGGCCAGATGGAAGAAGGTCTGTAGGACGACGTAGAAAAAGGTGGAAAGATGCAGTCAGAGAAGATCTAGAGAAGATGGGAGTGCGACAATGGATATTACTAACACAGGACCGACAAACATGGAAGGCAATAGTAAACGCGGTAAAGACTCACGAACAGTTTGCGCCATTGATGATGAGGATGATGATGATGATTTATTGTGATAAATAAGTATCTTTTTAGAAAAAAAAGGGAAGTAATATTTAATAACCTCCAATGCATATTGCCTTATTTCACATTTACTAATTCTTAGACTGATCTACGTTTGGCTGAAATGTTTTGTATTGAATGATGGCGACGTTTGAGCAAAGATCCTGGTTAACTTTAGCAACTGCTATTGAGAAACACTTTCTTTGAGTTGCTTTGGTACAAAATCGTGTCAGTGCAGTTTACAAAAAGTGCATATAGATACAGGAGGTTGCAATTGGAGAATGCGCGTCATGGACTGATAAAAAACTTTTTTTGTGAAATTCTTCATATTTTATAATCCACGAATCACTCTGTATGGTTTAGAATTTACTACCTAATGCTGGTATGTTCGGGTCTGGTTGACCCGACTTGTTTTACAATTTTTTTTTCTTCTTCTTTGTTTCATTGGCGGATCAATACCACCATGAAAGGTTGTCAAAGGTTGTCGTCCGATACTTCTTTTGTCGATTGGTGATTTATCTCTTGCTAGTTTTGACGTCAGGGTCTCCTTCAATCTGTTTATGTGGTTATTTCATTCTTTTCTTCTATTTTGTGTCCATTCATTTATACACTGTACATTACATTTTCTTTTGATGTCTTTCTTCACTTCTCTTTCGATCTCTCAGTGTTAACGCGTCTGTTTCGCCATATAGTGTTATTAAGGTATTCTGCAAATCTATTTGCTTTTTGCACTTGATCTCTCACTTCTTTGTCCAGGTCTCCATAGCTCCATAGCCCAGGTATTTTATTTCCATTACTGGTTCAATACTAATGCCATCAATTTCTATTTTACATCTAGGTTGGTTCTTTGCTGAATGCTATTGATTTAGTTTTCTCAGATGAGGTTGTCATATTAATTTTTTTTTGCTTTTTTGTTAAGTCTGTAGACCAGTCTTTGCAGACTATTTTCATCTTGGGCTATCAATAGTGCGTCGTCTGCGTAACAGAGTATTTTATTTTTTTGTTTTCCATTCTGTATCCTCTTCCTTTGTTAGCCCTTTTAATTGCCTGTGTTTCCGGTTCTAGTGTCGTTTTTTCCTCTGCATACAGCTTTTTTAGGTAGCCAATCCACGTATTCTTTTCTATGTGTGTTAGTTCTATTAGTTCCTTTACCTTCTTTATTTGACCTTTTATGAAGCGCCATATTCCTTTGCAAACCCTAAAAATCATGTTCCATTTCTTTCAAAAAGCGTTTCCAGTGATAATTTTTTATTTTACTATACACATTACTATGAGATGTAACACATTGGCCGCTTTGGATGCTTTAATCAACTTATTGGTATTTTTGATAACAATTAAATTTTTACCTATTGTTGGGGTCGATATTACCCATGTACTCAACACCTTAAAATTCTGCAAGTTAGAACTGGTAAAATATTTTGTCGTGTGTTTCTATTTTGGAGTATAAAAATATCTAATACAATACGCTGGACGACCTCAGCCAGGACGGAACAGTGGTAGGTACAGGAAGTGCAGGGGATAGAAAAATGACAAGCAGTCGAACTGGTATACAACGGGACAGCGTTTGTGGATTGGAATTCAATGCGTCTTTTATTAAGATACCTTGATTTTTCAATCAATTCAAAGATTAAGTTCCAATAAGCTTCAAATCAAAATAAAATTTTACGCACATTTTCCAATTAACCATCGTGATTAGTATATTTCTATGATTCATAGAATTTAGGTTTTTTTATCATAAACATTTAGATTGTTTTATTGAACATTATTTTAAAATAAGAATTCTTTGGCTTACTTTTTAGAGGAGACCAGTACAAAATCATCTAGCAAAGTGTAATGATTCTTGGTACTATTAAAAAGACTGATCAACTTTTAGTCTTTTTTAAACAACAAATTCGACCAAATGAGGTGACGACTTTAGAAACATAAAAGAAAATCCACAAAGTAATACTGGATGATCGTCCATTAAAAATGCACAGACTAGCAGATTTAGTATGCATTTCATACTAAATGCCACTACCAAGTGGTTCATCGCATCATCATCATCAACTGGCTCGACAACCCTTTTTGAGTCTTGGCCTGTTCAAGGATTCTTCTCCATTCTGACCTGTATTCGTGCTTTTTTTTTCAGTTTTTAATTTTTAATGCTGTTATATCATTTTCTATTTGTTCTACGTATCTCAGCTTCGGTCTTCCTCTTGTTCTTTTTCCTACTAGCACTTGTTTGAATATTTTGTTTGTTCATCGCATATTAACTGATCATTTGGCCATAAGAAAGCTGGGTGCAAGATGGGTGCTGCGTTTACTCACATTCGAAGAAAAACTGTGTGAAGAGAATGTTTCAATTGAGTGTTAACAAAGTTTTACAACAGCAAAGCAGATTTTTGGCCGCTTCATAACCATGGATGAAACATGGGTCAATTACTTTACAGTCAAGACAAAAGAACAATAAAAACAGTAAACTCAAAGGGGAGAACTGGCTCCAAAGAAGGCCAAGAATATTTCATCTTTTCTTTTCTACTCCATACAGAAGCACTGATTACACGTAACATTTAAGGAGCATTATCTTTCTTTCTAGGGTGAGGTCGTGGCTCTTGAACACAGAGCTCATATTCAATTCAAGAATGCACTGTTTGCCTTTACTATGCGACCTTTAATCTCTTGAGTATTGTTTCATGACTAATTGATTATAGTTTCCAAGTAGTTGTACTGTAAGACACATTCAATTCTCATTTGGTTCACATACAGATTTGCTTCAGTTATGTTTTCCTTGCCGATGATCATCAGCTTGGTTTTGCTGGTGTTTATATCCAGTCCATATGTTCTAGTTGGAAAAAACTATTGTATTATCTGCATACCGCAGGTTATTGAGCTTGACTTCATTTATTGAGATGCTTTCATCAATATCTTTTAGAGCCTCTTCAAAAATGTGCTTCGAATACAGATTGATTATGCACCCCTGTCTTACTCCCCTTAAGATTTTGACCTCTTCTGTATTTTCTCCATCTATTCGAAGCACCGCTGATTGATTCCAATACAGGTTAACTATTATTTTTAGGTTTCGTCCGTCAATCCCTATCCTCTTCAGCACTTTCATCATTTGTTCATGCCTGACAAAAAGTTGAAAAAAAAAAACGGTGAGTATTGTACTAACATATTGATTTTGAGCAAAGAAATCGAGCAAAAATGGTCGCATTTGGCTAAGAAGGAAGTATTGTTTGATCAATACAATGCACCAGCTTACAGACCCGTTATTGAAATGGTCATAACTGATAAATTAAAGTTTAATTAGTAGGCTCATTCATCTTATGCTCCAGATTTAGCACCCTCGGATTATTTTCTGCTCGCATACTTAAAAAATGGTTTAGTGGTTAAAGATTTTCCAGCAATAAAGAAGTGATGTTAGCCGTTAATGGCTATGTGAAGGAGCAAGACAGTTTATTATAAAAGGGTATCAAACTTTAATTGAACATCTCTTGAAAAAGTGCCTGCTTTGTTGAGTAGTACTTCCGGAACCACCGTACAAAAGCAACATTATGTCGAAGGATCGATCCGAGAAGAAGACAATTAACCGACTTTCAAAATCTTTGTATTCAAGATTTTATTTTACTTAATTTTACTTCACAAATAGATCATTTTGCGTTGGTCTCCCTTACTACATCTTAACATATTGCCCTTTTAATAACACTCAAGACTTACGCGTATGAATAGGGTGAACATCAGCTCAACATCTATAATAATTTATAATGTACGTAGATCAATTGGGCATTAATGCCTTACTTCAGATTCCTTACAGCTTCAAGCGATTTGAGCGAAAGTCTTACTCTATATCTTACAATTGAATACCCTGTGGAAATATATTGGGAGATATGTAGAGTCTCGAGGTTCAGCAAGATTTTGTGAGCATGCATATTTCTTCGTCGGTCTCACAGGACTGCATTCGGCATTTCTCGGACCTCTGATCATTGCATAACGATGTCTCAGCCTAAAAGTAAATTAAAGTTATATATTATATAATATACCTAGTTGAATACTCGAATAAATAAACTTTAATCAAATAAAAGACAGATATTGCACACAGTTTTTTATTTAATCTTGTCCAAGTACTTTTGCTCATAGAGCATCTTCAGAGGCATCTGAAATAAGACAAGAGACGTTTTTTTCAACTGAAGAAAAATAAATTAACTTGATGGTTGGTAAAACGTTATATTAAATTTTTTTTCATCAACCATTAACTTCGAGTTTTTTCAAAGTTAATTAATTTTTTTCAGTTAAAAAAAAACATTTCTTTGCTTATTTCAGATGTCCCTGAAGATGCTCTACAAGCGAAAGTATTTGGGCAAGATCTAATAAAAAACTATGCTCGATATCTGTCTTTTATTTGATTATAGTTAAAATTAAGTTATAAAACATTAAAGCACTACAAAATACTTTTATAGTACAAAAACCGAAAAATTATGAGAGATATACCTGGCCATCTCCAACGTGTTTTATACCAACTTGAACACCATTCTTTATAGACGGATGTTTTCCATTGCAGCAATGATTCTTTTCTGAAATATTAAAATATTTAATCAGTTATATAATATGGATTTCATAAATAAAAAATAATAGTTGTACGAAAAATGAGGCTATATAAATTATGATGGGCACCTACTATGGCAAATATATGAGATATTGTGTTACAGAAATCGGTTGAAATATTGGACAAAACCAAGTCAGAAAAAAGAAATCAGCATATCAAAAAACCATCATACAACCAACCATACAACGTCAACTACACAGTGAAGACCCAACAAAAGAAGAAGAGTCAAATGCCATCCTAAAACTCAAAGACAATAAAGTCCCAGGAATCGATGAAATCTGTTCGGAAATGTATAAAAAAGGTAGTGATCAACTTTTTGCAGCAATCCATATTATAATAGTACTTATATGGCAGAATGAATTGGTACAAGAAGAGTGGCTAGAGGGAATAATATGTCCGTTGCATAAAAAGTGCGATCAACTGGAGTGTAAGAACTATAGAGGCATTACTCTGTTAGCATCTACGTATAAAATCTTCGGCAATCTATTGTTTGAAAGACTTAAACATTTTACAAAGGATATTGTTGGTCAATATCAATGCGGATTTACTGCTGGAAGGTCAACTACACATCAAATTCAAGCACACAGGCAGATTCTAGAAAAGTCACTACCATATAACATATATACACACTATCACTTCGTCGACTTCAAAGCAGTCTATGACAGTGTGAAAAGAACTGTCATTACATAATATACTGAACATTATATAATGCAATGATAAACTTTGGGATCGCACCTAAGTTAGTTAAGTTGACCCAACTAACAATGCAAAACTTAAGCTCATGCGTTAGAAATGAAGGAGAAAATTCTACGTTTTTGACATTAATAATAGTTTAAGATAGGGAAACGCGTTGGCGTGTCTCCTCTTTAGTATTGCTTTGGAAAAGGCACTCAGACAATTAAATATGAGAATGAATGGAACTATTTTTAACCCTTTGTGGACGGACTTTTTTTTGTTTACAATAAATGATGAATAATTTGTTTTTAGGACATATTATTGGGGCAAAAGATAGACAAATCAAAGATTTTTTTTGTTACGAACATGCATTCAGCAGCTAACAGCATCTAAGTGGCCCGCCTAACGGTCGCATCTCGAAGGATCGAGAAGTTACCGGTCATATATCAAGCGCTGTAAAATTCCACCCGTCGTCAGATAACGAATTAGAGATGGGACTAGTCCTGAATATTCTCGAACATAGTAACTTTGGTATATATAGGTAACGAAATTAGGAGTTAGTTGAGTTGATAAGAGAATACCGAACTGTAAAGTTATAAATAAATATATTTATATAAATTCGAACCGCTCGTTTTATTTAAAAACGGTACAGTTGGTGTCCGGTGTGAGATTTGAAAATAGTCAACAGTGACTTTTAAAAAAAAAAGACTTTTGAACTTTTGAAAAGTATTGTTCGTCGGGAACATCCGCGTAGTTCGGTAGTGATCGTTGTACGAAAGAACATTTAAAAAGTACGTGTGTGCCCGACCAAAGATGCTGCTAGTACAACTTTCAGTAAAACAGTTGCGTGAGCAACTAGAAGAACGCGATGAAGATTGCAGCGGGTCCAAGAAGATCCTCCAAGAACGACTAAAGAATGTTCTTAATAAGAATGGAGATGACCCAGAGACATTCCAGTTTCAATCAGCAGAAGAAACAGTTTTAACAAAAATGAATGAGAAATTTGAAAACGTCTCTCAAATGATTGAAGAATCTTCAAAAAAAAAATGATAATAAATTCGAAAATGTGTCTAGAAGATTCGACGAGACTTCACAAATTATTAAAGAAGTAGCTAGACAAAACGACGAGAAACTCGAAAAGGTTTCAAGAAGATTCGACGAAGTATGTACTCAGAACGATGAGAAATTTGAAGAAGTCTCTAAAACATTCGATAAAGTAGAAGAGAAGATCAAACAGCTAGAGACCATAATAACTAACACGAAAGTGCTACCACCAATTAATACGGTAGCTTTAGATCCGGTAGTGAAAGAAGAATCATCTAGAGACGAAATGACACATAATATGAGATTCAAATTGCCACCATTTGATGGAAAGTCCTCTTGGTCCATATACCTTAGACAATTTGAAGCTATTGCGACAGCCAATCATTGGACAGAACAAGAAAAAGCCGTTTCCTTGACTGCTGCTTTACGAGGTGATGCTGCAGATATCCTAAGATCGATTCCTAAGGGTCAAGAAAAATGTTACCAGACCTTGTTCACTCGACTAGACAAACGTTACGGAGATGCCCATCTACAACAAGTCTACAAAGTACAAATAAGAAGTAGAATCCAACGAGCAAGTGAGAGTTTGCAAGAATTTGAAGCAGATATTGCTCGTATAGCGCTGTTGGCCTATCCAGAGGTACCAGACAACATTTTGGAAGAAATTGCTGTAGATGCCTTCGTCAATGGGTTGAGAGACAGTGAACTACAGAAAGCTTTACGACTAGCAAGACCGAAAGTTTTAGATGAAGCGCTCGCCATTGCCTTGGAACATGAGATAGCTAGTCGAGTTTCACGGAGCTATCAAGTACGAACCTCTGAAGAAAGTGACGAACGAAACGATAAACGTCTGGAGGAAATCGTACAGAAAGTAGTTCGTAACATGATGCCGAAGAAACGTGAACCCAGATGTTGGAATGGTAACAACGAAGGTCACATTCGCCACAAAGTGCAAGAAAATAATACAACAGTCAGAAAGCTAGAACAGATCGAGCACTGGGCTGGAAAAAGTCATTCAAATGCTGATGTTCAATCAAGACGGCCATACAGTGCAAATCGTAATCATTGTCTTGAATTAGAAGAACGATTTTGCCCCGTTAGGCGAACCACCGTTATTAATGACCAATGGCAGCCTCAACAGTTACAAGACGCCCAAGCAGATGATCCATGTATAAAAAGAGTATTGGATTGGGTGCGTCGAAGTGAAAGACCTTCTTGGCAAGACATTAGTGCATGTAGTCCCGAAGTCAAGTGTTACTGGAGCCAATGGAATTGCCTAGTGCTGAAAGATGATCTTCTGTATAGAACCTTTGAGAACGATGATGGTACAGAAACTAAGCTTCAGTTGATTGTACCTAAAAGTAAAGTGTCAGAAGTATTAGCGTCAGTTACATGACGGTGCATCAGGTGGACACTTTGGTATTACGAAGACTCTGCAAAAGGTTCGAGAACGGTTCTATTGGGTGAAATGTAAAGATGATGTAAGAAGATGGTGCCGGAAATGTGAACTGTGTGCAACCAGTAATGGTCCAGTTGGTAAAAAGAGGGCACCCATGAAACAGTACAATGTTGGTAGTCCTATGGAAAGAGTAGCAATCGACATTGCAGGTCCACTTCCAGAGACAAATGATGGAAATAAATATATCCTGGTAGCTATGGATTATTTTACGAAATGGACTGAGGCCTATGCGCTACCAAATCAAGAAGCTGCTACCGTTGCAGAGGTATTGGTTAAAGAATTCTTTAGCCGATTTGGTGTTCCCTTGGAGATCCACTCCGACCAAGGGCGAAACTTCGAGTCAAACCTTTTCCAAAACGTTTGTAAATTGATTGGTGTCAATAAGACCAGAACGACAACCCTGCATCCTCAATCAGATGGATTGGTCGAGAGGATGAACAGAACGATGGGTAAACACCTGTCCAAAGTTGTATCAAAACATCAAAGAGATTGGGATCAGCACATTCATTTATTCTTAATGGCATACCGCTCGGCCGTGAATGAAACTACCGGCCAGACTCCAACCTGCCTGATGTTAGGTCGTGAAGTTCGTTTGCCCTGCGACCTAGAGTTTGGCTGCAGACCTTCCGAAGAACATGTTGCAAGCGAAGATTATGTCGACCGCCTTAAGTTAAGAATGAACAACATTCATGAACTTGCCCGACAACACATCCAGTTAGCCAGTGACAGAATGAAAGATCAATACGATTCTCGATGCAAGAATGAAAGCTATGAAGTAGGTGATCTTGTTTGACTTTATAATCCCCAACGTCGTCGTGGCTTGTCTCCTAAACTGCAAAGACAATGGGAGGGTTCGTATGAAATTAAAAAGAGAATAAATGACGTAATATACCGAATTAGGAAGTTGCCGAAAGGTAAACCAAAAGTAGTTCACATAAATCGTCTTGCACCTTATGCTGGCTCAAACGAAACCGAAGAAGTCCGAACCCTTCAACATGAGATCAAAGATGATCGGCGACCAAGCTTTAATGAGTTTATGTCAAATTACGCAGAGAGAAAGAGTGTTAGATTCGGCGTGACGACAGAAGTTCAGCAGGATCTTTTTAGGGTTCCGCATAACGTCACTCTAGCCCACTGTGTTGCCCAAGATCTTGAGATGACTAAAAGAATCTCATCCGTATTTTATAAGAAATTTGGTCGCTTGGACGAGTTAAAAAACCAGCAGCCTAAAGTTGGAAAAGTGCTGAGATTAGAAGATGGTTCTCGATCTTTGTTGTATATGGTGACCAGAAAGTCGTATACAGCCAGGGCAAGCTACGAGGATATATGGCGTGCTCTGACTAATTTGAAGAAAATCGTCTGCAATTACGACATTAAGAACTTGGCTTTACCCAAGATAGGCCATGCACTAGATAATCTGGATTGGAAGATTGTCAGAAGCATGCTTGAAGTGATCTTCCGAGAAACCGGTGTAAGAATTACTGTGTGTTGCATTAATCCGAAGAGATCGTGTCCTTCAAAGACAGTAGCCTGTTATTTCTTTCTGAGGGGTTCATGCAGAGCTGGAGAGTCCTGTAGATTCCGCCATCCTGGGCCTATAGATAGAGTTCCTGATCGGGACGCTCAGATCTAAGAGGGGAGCAGTGTTACGAACATGTATTCAGCAGCTAACAGCATCTAAGTGGCCCGCCTAACGGTCGCATCTCGAAGGATCGAGAAGTTACCGGTCATATATCAAGCGCTGTAAAATTCCACCCGTCGTCAGATAACGAATTAGAGATGGGACTAGTCCTGAATATTCTCGAACATAGTAACTTTGGTATATATAGGTAACGAAATTAGGAGTTAGTGGAGTTGATAAGAGAATACCGAACTGTAAAGTTATAAATAAATATATTTATATAAATTCGAACCGCTCGTTTTATTTAAAAACGGTACATTTTATATTTTATTTTTGTAATCATTAGAAAAAAAGGTTGTACCATGTGGAACAACTAGGCCATAAACGAAAAAATTATTGAGCGAGAAAAAAAATAAAACAATTTTTTTAGATATACATAAACCTATTTTACATGTAGTACAATGCCATCTTGCACGATGAGGAGTTGCCTTGGTACTGCAGTATGTACAACCTACTTTGACTCGATGCTTTGTCAGTTCTTATTTTTAGAAAAACTTGTTTTTGAACCTGCTACTGGTGCTTGGTTTGTCTATGGTTCTTATTCCAAATTTTGGCATTTGTAGGTCTGCTCCAATCAAACCGGTGGCCACAGCAATTTTAAATCCTTTCAAAGACATTCTCGTATCATTTGTCGATTGTTTGAAAATTATATATCAGTTTAGTAATGTTAAATGTCAATAAAACAAAAAAAATTCTATGCCACCACTTTTAGGATTTTCTATCCGATTCGTAGCAAACTAATATATAAGACTTATCTACGAAGTCCATATATTTGTTGTAATCTTTTACTAATTATTTGCAATTAATTTCCAGTTATGTTCCATCCTTTTGTTTCCTTTTCACAGTGACATTACCTTCAGGTTTGTGAAAATTGCTTGATAAATAAATGGTTTTTTTATCCATCCATTGCAAAGCTAGCACGCTATCTTCACTCATTCTCCAGTTTGAGTCACCCCTTTTCATTCATCATTTTTTTATTTGTTTTAAGTCCATTTAAAAACCTTTTCTATCATTTCGAGTTGTTCCACATGCGTAGATTTTGTCTTTTATCAAGTCGCGTTGTAATGCAACAGAATTGAAATAATTTTACTAAAAATGCTTATATAATTTATATACTTTTTTAGTAATTTTTTTTTGATATATGGTATACAGCCAACAACAGGAACTAAGATGTCTTGTGGATTAGAATTAAAATAGTTATTGAAATAAACTTTAATAATTTTTTCCAATTAAATCTCTTGTAAAATCTTTTATTACTCTTACTCCGAGGTTTTTCTCCCTTACATCTTTTTTGAGAATTGAACACGTGGATTCGTACATCTACTTGGGAACAACAGTTAACTCAAATTGGGATCAAGCGAAGAAAATACGTATAAGAGTAGAAAAGGCAAGAGCATTGTTCACTAGCATGAAGCAAATTTTCACCTCTAAAAGCCTCACCCTACCTCTCAAAATTAGACTTCTGAAATATTATGTATTCCCGGTTTTGTTATATGGAATGGAGGCGTGGACAATGACCGCAACATTGATGACAAAAGTAGAGGCTTTCGAAATGTGGGCTTACCGACGTATATTACGTATATCCTGGACTGAGCACGTGACCAACGAAGAGGTACTACGCCGGATAGGTAAAGAGAGAGAGGTAGGAATAAGTATAAAGAAAAGAAAGTTGGAATACTTAGGTCACGTTAAAAGACATAATAAATATAGAGTACTACAGCTGATCGTTCACGGGAAAATAGATAGCAGGGAGCCCAGGGAGGAGAAGACACTCGTGGCTCCAAAACTTACATACCTTATATCCCCCTTTTATGGGTCATATATTGGCGTAAACTACATCGTCCTTTGAAACTTATCATCCATTCGTTATTAATTGTTGCTTGTTGCCTGCTGGGATAAAATAAGCTTTTATAAGTAGTTGAAAGTTCCTCTAGCAATGGCCGCACTTTGTAGAGTTTATCATGATTGCTATTATCTTTCTTAGCTTGTAATAAATTGTCATTTATATGAAAATGAGTAAGCAACCATCCAAATCTATCACGCGACATACATGAAGAAATAAATTGATCACTGATAACCAAATTTGCAGACCAGAAATCTCTATAAGTGGGCAACTTTTTCACACCCATCAAAAGGTTTATTCCCAAAAAATACTTCTTCAATTGTTGTGGGAGTGTTGTTTTTGTTATTTTCTTGGACTACGTATAAATTAGTTTAGGCACAGAATACTCCGTTGGTGTATTCTGTGGTTTGGGAAAAAGTGTATTCATCAGGTTCTCACTAAACAAACGAAGGAAGAAAAAGGGGAGTCTCTAAAGTATCAGGAGTTGAGGGACATTATTTGGGTCGGTGGTCCATTTTAACTTATCAAGAATAACAATTGATACCTCGTCTTCACCTAAGGTGGACGGGGAATCCTTTACTAAATCATGAATCTTCTTTATAGACTTTGAAATATGTAACTATTTCATCTCACGGGATTCTAGACTGGTCCGTGGCAGGTCATCGAACGTCGGACTAGTTTTCGACCATAGGAAAGGGGCTGGTGTAACAGTATTGTCAGCTGTATCATAAAACTGCGCTATTAATACTTGTCAAGTTGAGTTTAGACCAGTGGGAAAAATTAATTGTTTTATTAGAAAATCTCGATGTTGTGTGTAAACTAATGTGGCAAGAACGTCTAAATTCTAATTCACGCTAGTTTTATAAGTGTTTGCAATTTAATTTATTCGCGTGAGATTTTGAAAAATAGTCAAGTCAAACAGAAATGCATATAGTTAAATATCTACGGCATAAAATCTACTCACCTTGATTTGGATGCCTCCCTTTCTCATTAAACTTAGATTTGCTATTTCTGTGTCCAACTCCATTAACATAAATTGAGCTATATGACAAAGTCGTGCAGACTGACCGCCTCCCCACGGCTGATCTACAAAAAAATCCAATTAGTTATTTAAAATTAATTATATTCGACATTCAAGTTGCTTTATTAAAAAACAACCAGCAAAAAAATCATAATAGTCTCCAATGATTGTGCGTTTAGTTTACCTAGCGCCATTCATTCTCGAAACGTGCGGCAAAATTTTAACTTTATATGTGCCATAATTTCCACAGCATATGTAATCTGTCAGTAGGGTAAAACTAACCTGTCGTATGACGATCTAACTCCAGCCCACGTTCATATTCCCTGTTTATGAGTGAACAATCCACCGCTTGGTAAATTCTGCTTCGCGATGATAGAAAAAGCTGACATTGGAGGATCAAAAAGTAATGTCGCTGTGAACGATTTTCAGCTATAAGCCAGTTACCGCTGTAAGTACTAACTTTTCTGACACCTTCTGCTGAAAAAGCCAAAAGGATCGATAGACCGTAGTATTTCGCAGTAACTGTGAAATTTAGGATCAATCCAACTTTTGCCATTTTGTTGTACGTGAGGTTTCTGCCTTCACTGAGCTGACTTTAGGACACCTGCGTTATTCTTTGACAGATGTCGAAAAAGGCTAGAAGCAAGTTGGCACTCGAAACGAAGCACACGAATTTTAAGAACTTAGCGACCTTTGGATTTCTTCAAGAGGGTCAGATATCAGCACGATATTGTAAGCGTGAATGGTTTAATTTTTCATCATCGATGTTGATCACCATGTTCTTTCTTCCTTAAGGCGTTTTTATTTTTTTACTTCTTCTTAAGGTGCCGTGCATTTCTGCGTAGGCGTCCACCGTACATCGTCTTGTCAGGTAAGATGTTAAATAGTCAGGAATAAATAATTCTATTTTTAGCAGCATAGCGAAGCATTTTATAGCTGTCGATTCCTGTCCATTGTCGAATATTGCGCAGCCATGACATTTTTTTGCGTCCCAGACCTCTCCTACCCTCTATGTTCCCTTCGAGTATCAGTTGCTGAAAAGTGTATCTTTCTCCTCGTAATATGTGCCCCTTTTTTCACTACAATATAATTATTTTTACAGCGCCTCTCAGAACGCTTCCTATTTGGTTATCATAATAAAGTTTATTTTGATATTGTACACAACCTTTCCAATTTATAGTAACTTTTCTAGTCAATATAGTTTACGCGCCTTGTCTGAAATAAAAATACATTGGCGTATACTAAAGGAAAACTTTACGTACCTCAAAAACTTGGCTCTACACGGAAAGCATATTCCCAACACGGGATGAGTTGCTAAATAGCTGAGGAAATTATAGATATGTGGTTTTAATTCTGTTTTTACCTCGCCGTTCATGAAGCAGTACAAAATAGCAACAAATAGTCCCTAAAAATTAAGTAACACTTAAATATTTTGAGGCATCACAGTTATTACCTAAATTTCGAGGCAGGCAAAAACTTTTTGATACTGATGGTATGTCTGATATTTTTACACCGTTGCCACATCTCAAAATTTACAGTCATTTTTTCTTTAGAAAGAAATTTTACCTGAAAACTTCCAAAGAGAGAGTCGCAAATTAGCCAAATATCCGTTTTTCCTGTGAAGTAGAATATTAGCAAGACGGCATAGTGAACTCCGAAGAGAGGAACCAGCACTAATGTTGATCGTGCCCATTTTTGGTACCTTTTGGTATCTTCGCAGATTGGAGATCGCAGTTTTGTGTATAGTACTATGGATATGATGATGAACAGAGCAAAGTTGATCTGAAAGTTAAATTAGTGAATAAGTTACCTACTTTTAGAACAATATATGCTCAATTTGCTCATTTAAAAAACCTAATCCATTCATGTCCTTTCAATCAGGCTACACAGCTTTAAGAGTACCCTTTTTATAGAAAGTAATTTTATGGTTTTTGCTGTCCATTTTTAACCATGATACTGCGTGTTTTTCCGTGTCATTTTTTCTTTTAGCGATTGACTTTATCAATGTGTCCACAGACAAAAAATCATTATTCGTCATAACGGTAACCTGGAAAGAATTTTTCTTCTTTGACTTGGCAAAAATACTGTACCAATCAGTGAGACAAAAAAATGCAGTTGCGTTTTGCTGTAATTCTCGATAGAAGCAAAATCACAATCATTGAGAAGAAGGGAATGACTACTTTGCCTAAACTTTTGGTCTATGATTTCAATATTGTTGTCTTCACTTAACACCAGTTTGAATAATGTTAGGGCTATTTTCCAATTCCTGTTTTGAACGGTACACGAACGTCAGAGATCGAAGTTGACATAGTTGCCAAAGTATAAAAAAATCCTGACTCCATTTTAAATCAAATAGATCACATAATTATTGCAAAAGTATTACCATCTCTTTACAACGACTATTTAAATTCTTACGTGACATTTTTGAAATAAAACACACTAATTTTGTTCTAAAAAGAACAGATTTTATTAAATAGGTAAAAATATAAAACGAGGTAGATTCACTTTAAAATTCAAAATAATAAAGTACAAAAAGCGTCAACACGGCAACTTTCAAATAAGTGTTACCAATTTATGCCAAAATTTCACCTTCGTTCGATTACAGTTACCGTGTGTTCCGAACAAATGTTCTTCATAAAAACGCTTTATAATGCATTTATACAAATTAAATGAAACATATTATTGTGTATTTCTTTAAGTTAACAGTAATAGAAATCTTTAAATATTATTTCTACGCGTATATAATAAAATATGTCTAGTGGTTGTAATGTCAGTGTACTCGGCAAAGTGATACTAAAAAAGAACCCACCTACCACCTAAATATTTCGTGTTGGTATCATGTGACGTCACGGGCTATGACGCCGATGACGTGCATCGGTGTGTAAATTAGATGAAGTATATATGACTTATAACTTACACCATTTGTGTTAATATAAAATACTTGTTGCGGAATACGATTTAGACCTTAACTAAAATTAATCGAAAATGGAGTTACACCACTTGTGCTGTAAGAGGCTCATATATATACTTCAAAATATATATAAGTATAATAATTTTTATTGGTTTTAATGTCCATATTAGTAATACACTAGTACCGGTTTTTCCGATACTCTTAACATTATTATTGGCATTGAACGTGTTAATTTACTTTTGTCATCCCTGTAGGGATCAAATACATATTGAGCTTACACTGTAAAGTCAGCATATCCACCATTTGGATGCATTTCGGCTGTGTATCTGTGAAACTGTTGAGATCAATCAATTTTATAAAAATTTGAAAATTTTAAATGTTTTTTTTTTTTTTTAAATTATGACTAATTATTAGGTGAAACTTACCAAAACCGCTATTATTGTGGGAATTACAATAATAAGATATGCCTTAACGTTATCGTTAGTCGTCCAGCACATGGTATCGTCAAGAAAAATTCTAGCGATGATCCAAGGAATAATTACAAAAATCGGCAAACCTAAAAATCGTTTTATGATGACACTTCACCAAATTTATAATCAATTAAGATATTACCCCATCCAAGACAAATGTAGTACACTAAATTACGACTCGAATCAACGAAGAGTGCTCTCCAGATGAGATTGTTCAAGTATAGACCTTCCATTAAGATCCAAGAATAATTGGCTGTAGTAAAAAATTGTACTAATGACGTCAGTAATTTGCACTGGTAATTATTTTGCTAAAACATAAAAACGACATCAATATCAACACGTTATTTAAACTATTTTTCTTTTACCTCAATATCAGTTTTAAAATATAAATCGCCATTTTTCTCACTAAAATCAATTTGCAATCCTACCCCTTCCACAAACAGTATTTCTTTTAAGATGTGGAAAAGCGCTCTGAAGATGAACGAGGCGAATAAGTTCATGTGGAGGATGTTTCTAGCGCAATGCAGTTTCCTGGAAATAAAATAAATTTAAATTTCAAATAATAGAAAAATTGGAATTGAAGTGGAACATGATAAATCACGAAAGACGCGGAAATCTATTGTTTCAAACGGTTATTTCAAATGAGATGATTTGACGATTCAGTCCCCACATTCCACATCCCTAAAACACGATCCAAACAAAACACAAAAAACCTATAGGTACACTATATAAAAACTTGACCATATACTTACTTAATTGATAGCATTATTATAAACGCCGCAATCAGTGATAGAAGTGACACAGCATATCCAGTTTGCGAGACAATCTTAAGAATGGGTACTAAAGTCTCATATCTTTTCCAGAGATCTGATTCAGACGTAATATTTGTGAAAATAGTTGCGATTCTTCCTTCCGAACAGGCTGTGTAGTCTCCCCATGGTTCATGTGTGCTGCTATTTACATACCATGTTCCATTTTCTGTACAAGTTCTAGTAGCATTATAATTCTAAAAAGATACAAATAATACTTGTAAAAAAAGAAATTTAATATGTTATTGTTTTAATGGGATACATTTCATATAAGTCAGAAGTTAAATAAAAATAGTTAAAAATCCGATCCTGTTCAGACACCACAGTTTAAATACGACCCTGTCCTTCATCATTGATTTCAAACTTGTACCTATTGCGCTTGCGTTTTCTAAATCTGTACATTTGAACTTCCAGTCACAGTTCCAGAACACAGATGTTATTCAGAATTTAAACACGAATACACCGATAAAATTAATTTTCATAGTAGTTTTAATAAATATAAAAATCAAGTAAAATATAATATTTGTTCATAAAAAGATACAAAGAAAAAGCATTTTGGTCGGTACATTTGAACTACTATTAGAGTTTAAATTGACATTTTGACAGCAACATAAATTGACATAACAACACGTGTTTATTAACCTAAAAAGCTTGTAGTGTTATAAACTTTTGCAACATGCCGAAATCAAAAAGAGATAAAAAGAGTGAGTATAAAATATCTACAATACAATACAAAAATGTATCTAATAATCCATATTTTCTTTTCCAGTTTCCTTAACGAAGACCGATAAGAAGGGTCTAGCTTTGAAACAAAAAATTGTGGAAGATGTCAGGGAATCAGTTGGAAAATTTAAAAGTATTTATGTATTTACCTATAAAAACATGAGGAACGAAACAATGAAGGCTGTGAGACAGGAATGGAAACCCAGCAAGTTTTTCTTTGGCAAAAATAAAGTTATTTCAATAGGCTTGGGTAGGACACCAGAAGAAGAGGTTGAAGATGATTTACATAAGGTAGAAGCTTACTATGCTTTTATATAATAGTGTCTGAATGAAATATAGTATGATCATTTCTTGAAAGCACTTCAATAATTTATACTTATATGTTTTTCGTTTAATTCTTATGTATAACTACAACTTGAATGCTTCTACTCCTTTACTGACTATTGTGATAAGCTTTTTTGCATTTGTTAAAAAACAACCTATATTATTCTGTTTGTTTTATATTTCTATATAAATATTTTTTCTTTTCTTTGATGTTCACTCATCTTTTGAATTTTGCTTAGCTTCATTCAGATATTTAAACAGTTCTTCAAGGTTTTCAACAATATCTTTACTAACATTTATCATATTTTAGTTATCAGAAGTGTTGAAAGGCCAATGTGGACTACTATTCACAGACTGTACCAAAAAAGAAGTGAAGGAATGGTTTGAGAGTTATTCCGTGGGTGAATATGCTAGATCAGGATTTAAAGCGAAAACTACTATTAAATTGGATGCAGGTCCTTTGAAACAGTTCTCACATGCCATTGAACCTTATTTGAGGCAGCTTGGAATGCCTACAAAACTAGACAAAGGTAGAATCAACATATTTGTTTAAAATTGATTGAAAACAGAACTCAGTTATTATAATTTTGTCTTCATAATGTTAATCAAGTGTAATAATTCCCCAGACTATAGTTAGAAAGCTTAAATGACATTATGAAGTATATTTTCTGTACATAATATGAGATTTTGAAGTTTGTTGAGCAGGGATAATAATAATATTTATATTTTAGGTGTTGTTACATTGATCAAAGATTTTGAAGTCTGTAAGACAGGTAGTGTCTTGACACCTGAGCAAGCTAAAATTTTAGAATTGTTGGACCATAGGATAGCTACTTTTAAGCTCATATTGAAAGCCAAATGGACTAGGGGCAAAGGTTTTGAAAAATTCAAAGTTGAAGATGAAGACGAGGATGAATGTGAAGAACAGAATGAAGATGAACAAATGGAAGAGGACAATTAGTAGACTGTAGACAAATAGGTGTTAATTTAGGTTTAAATATGTGTACATATTTATTTTTAATAAAACATTTAGTATATAGTACTTGTATTTTTTACTTAATTACAATGCATAAACAATAACTAGTATTACTAAAAAAATATGCTGTGTGTTTCACTTAAATGTACAAAGTATTACTAATAAGGTAGATGAATTAAATGCGTTTTGGAACACTGATTAAACTCTGATAATTTGCAAAGAATTAAATTGGAGAATTTTTAATTTGTCTCTTCATATTGTAGACTACATGGAGTGTCTATGGTTCTAAACATATTCAACTTAAGCCTGTTGATTTAAACACATTTTTTGATCCATTGAATGCTGAATTCTCTGGTGTTAAATTACCACCAAGTTCAGTTAAAAT